TCCACCTTTGGCGTTTCCATCCTGGATTCATGGGAGAAACAACCCCTCAGGTAAGTGTTTTCAAGGTGTTTCTAGCATTTTCTTTCTTTTTTGATTACTTACCCCCAAATTGATGTAATCAATAATCGGTAAGTCTCTTGCGTTTTTACGATTGCAAATCCAGGATGAGAACGCCAAAGGTGGACTGTGTGTGCAATGACACACATGATCATATGAAATGATTCGACTTTACTTGCAGAGGTTTTTCGTTTATGATACTATTAGTTGCAGATGAGCAATCATACCAGATTGCTTAAATCAAAACTTAGTCTTGGAAACTAAGTCTTCATACCGACTGGCTTACATAGCGGCCTATATCATGGTCAATCTTTGCACATTGAGATCTATTCATGATCTTTTTCAAAATTTGTGACCTCCATTCTGAAAAGGCATGTTTCCGAAAGAAATCATACTCTGCGTGCCGATTAGCTTGCAATATTTTCTCTCGTAAGGCTTGTTTACTTACTGAATGTGCTAATCTGTCCTATAAGAGACTTCCGCAATTGTTACGTGGGGTTTTTGATGCACTCGACTTGAGCCGAACGCATCCGCAAAAAGTATAAATCATCTGTGCATTCAAACCGTACATCCGACATATTCAATATTTTGAAGTATGTTTTCATAGAAAATGAATATTTTTGGCTGGCAAATTTTCAGCTCCCTTCCGGCAAAGCAAATAGTCCTTATCAAAACTACTGAGCAAGTTTGAGAAGTGGAACTAGTGATGCTAATTATACGCGCTTTAGTTGCACGTTCTGTTTGCGTTGCTTCTTTTCCTCGAAAAGGCGTATTTAATTTTTTGGAACGGCGTGTTTTTCAAATCTTGTAATTCTGAAATCAAAGTGGCAAAAATCCACCTTCTACTTTCCAATGCATCTTCCTTTTTTGAGTCCAGAAGCACCAAATATCGTGCAGGTGATGATGACAGCCACTGAAACGAAAAGCTTATTGGAATACGTGGATTCTGGGACACTTTGCACGAATGAGATGCAAATGTTCTTTAGATTAAGACACGCGATAATTTGCAGCTCCCCTAAACAGAAGCGTAAAACCTTGATTTCTGATTCCTCTCAAGGAACGAGAATTAAACATCAAAATTCAAATTTTTGAAGTCCTTGCTCGCATCTTTCAAACAATCCCACTTCGCTTTAATCTCACGTACTTTCGACATCCGATCTTTTGTACAAACGTTTTCACTTTTCCAATAAAAAAGTTAGAAAAGCCAAAGCTTATGAAAGTATCTTCCTTATATTTATCTGTGCACATCAGTTTTCAAATGTGTGATCCAAGGTGAATCTGGACTTGGGTTAATCAAACACTAAGCGGCACGAGAGTGCATGCCGTCTCCTTGCTGAAATTCAAGCCATTCGAAACACGACCTGACATTATTTTGTGCAAAGTGGCGAGGAGTATCGCCTTGCAAGGAGGTTCGGAAGGGGTACAGTGCGGAATTTGTGCCTATTTGTAGACTGCAAATTCTTATTTACGGTCGAAAAGACTAGATGTTGAAGGTGTTCTGTAAACTTCCTAATGATTTCTCTTACATTTTCTTTCGAGTCTGCAGTCCAAATGATTCATACAGTCTCCACAAATCCTTCTCTGAGAGATTGGAAAGAAGCAATGGGAGTCGTAATCGTTGAAGAGAATCATAATTAAGAGAGTGCCTGCCAAAAGCAAACATCAATACAAGACGCATTATCTCAGCGCGTGCTTCGGACTGGTTCTTCAAACTGGTGTCCTTCGCTCAAAAATCATAGGAGAATTCTCAGTCGAAAACGGACTACAATAAAGGTTGCATTCGGGAAGCTTTTCAATCGCCGAGATTGACTGCGCACTATAAACAATCCAGGATAGAGCTCACATGATCCAAATTTCTCCCAAACACGAGGACAATTTCTATGATGTCCGTCCGTTGAGTAGCCGACTCCAATTTCATGAAAATTTTCGATGTCCGATGTCCTATCAGCCGCCACAATTATTTCCTCAAGCTTCCGCACGCCAAGAATGTTGGAAGTACCCAGGCATCCGGTCTAAAAAACGCTCCTTGCTAGCCGAACGCATGCGCAAGTGCAGTAAAGAGGGCAGGGAGAGTGACCTACGAGTCCCGGAGGACGGACTCGATTTCGTCGTGCTTGTGCCTCGCTTCGGCCCTTCCTTCGTCGAGCCCATGCTGGGCGGAGTTTGGCGGTCGGACGGACGTTAATTTCTCACCGCACAAACAACATTCCTTTCTCCACTATTGACACTTTGTAATCTAGCATGCAGGGGCTATACCTTCGCCGGCCAGCCTCGTTTCGGAAATTGTTGCCGAGCCTTGACAGCTGTCATGTGCCCTCTTGGTCCGCAATATGTCTCCGTTTCGGTCCCCTTTTGGCGAATGGTTATAAATTGCCATGCCCTTTCATATCCTTCTCTTGATCGTTCTGTGCAATTCTTCAGGCCAAACAGTTTGCAATTCACCATTTTTCTTCGGTCAAGTTATCTGTTTGCATAAGCTGGATATTCCATTGCAAAGCTTTCTTCTACAATTAGGCTAAATAAAAACACTTTCAGTAATTGTTGACCATTGCTGTATCTAGAAGACTCTTCTACATTTGATTAGAAAAAGCTTTTCAAAGTAATGATACTCACTTCTTTTTTGTGAAAATTCTTTTACAAGTTGACGCAAAAATCGCGAAACCTTCACTTTTCAATTCAACTTCTAAGTAAAAAAGAGCCATTTTCGAAGTTATATAACTTGATCGCTTTTTCTCACATTCAAATCACTTAAAATAAAACATAATAAGTTTTGTTGCACCATGTTCAAAAATGCATAGCTTCTTGATTTCTCAACATATTTGCATGCTCTTGATTTTATTTAAGAGAAGAAACCAAGCGATTTATAACAGCTTTCTTCCCGATATGCACACATCGCGTAGGTAGAGGAGATAGAGGATAATCCTTCAAATTCGATTTTTCTGTGTTTGGTCATAAAAAATCTGAAACTCCAGTAAAAATCGAAACAAAAAGTATTATAGGTTCCTGTTCCTTGTTTGGAGAGTATATCGCTAAGCATTTATAAATATAGTCCACACAAATCAAATCGTTGAGTGGAAAATTCGTTGTATATTAATGGATGTTCCTCACCATGTGTTTGCTAAAGGTTTTTGCACCTACTTATTCCACGTAAATCCTGTTCATACATTTTTCTCTCAAACATAAAAAGACTCATGTATACACTCAGAGCTTCATGTACTTAGAGCTCATCAATCATCCTGCTACTATCACATATTACTCTGTCCTTTTCCGCCGCCCGTCCCCCGAACTTCTCCCCTGTAACTGGGGACAAGCATGACATATCTTCATCCATAACTCCCCCACTTCCATGGCACAACATTACTGATCTTTACTCCCCTTCCACTCTCTCATGTCCCTCTCCGTGCTTGATTAAATTGGCTCAAATGCAGAACCAAATTCGACTATCTACAACTTAACTGCACATCTCAAATTATAATCTGCACAAGAAATAATAGGCCTACAGTGTTTCCAACATCATTATCGAGAAAAAAAATGTTCAATAATTTGCTGTATATCTGTTCACCCACTATGCACTTTTTTTCTTTAATTTTTCAGCTTTTCTGCGCAACTGTCTCCATGTATCGATCACATTGCTCTTCTTCTATCAAACTGACTTCTTCCTTGAGCAACCGTAGAATTTCTGATCTCTTTTTGGGAATCTATTACTCGGTCATGTAAAAGTAATGATTGTATGCATCTACTGTTTCTCTATCCCAAGATCACATTCTATTATTTTTTTTTTCCAAAAAATCACATCACGATTACTATTTACTACAGAGAGTCCTACAGATTCCTCTAAGAGTTTGAATCAATGAGTAGCCTCAACCCAGGCTGCTGTATTCGTTTTTGATGACTTAGACATAATAGTCTTACTAGTAGTTTATGAGAATGGGCATACTATTCATTCTCTGGCGAACACGCTTTGCGTACATAGACAGATAGATACATTTCATTAAGAAATTCATGAATGAGTTTGAACGCGTTTTGGTTGATTTACTAATAGATTTCATGGAAAAATGTTTGAGCTCGTTAATCCACGCTGGCTTAAACACGTTTTTTAACGAATTCCTGATAGAATTAACCAAAATGCATTAGAACTCATTCATGAACTTGTTGATCAAACGTACGCAAAGCGTGCTCGCGTGTCTCATGTTAGTCAGAGAATGAATGATAATTATGATTACTCTTAAACACTGGGACGAAAAAAAAACAAATTCAAACATCTGTGCTCCCTTCGACTAATTTTTTGACTTTTATGGAGCTGAAATGCTTAGTTGTGAAGATGATAAACTGATATGCCACTAATGCCCGATTTGTTAAGCAAGCAAAATTTCGGCACGTGCCCAGTTTGATCTGCACTTGCAGAGGCAAATGTTGGTGTGTTATGTTGTTTTATAACCACAAGTCATAAAAGATTCAATCTTCTTAGCTATTCCCATCTGTCGTCATTTCCCATGAATGGGACGGAATGGACTAATGCTATATGGCAATGTTTTCCAAAAAGCGAGTGTGAGAAACTGCTCACTCTGGGACTCAACTCGTAAAAGACAATAAAAATGAGTTCCATTCTGGTGATTGCGGATTTGTTATCAAGACTGTCAGGCAAGAAACAAAGCAGTCTTACACAGACTTCGCTCCGCTCCAAAGTATTGCAAATGGACATCAAAACAATAAGCTGTGCAATACACAATAAGAGTTTGATATCGTATTCCTCTTCCCACTGAAAGTTTTGTTGCCGTGCTTTTACGAAATTCATAGTTCTGAAGTCAACGAGCAATTTCCGATTTGGATTCCCATAACTCTTCTTTCGCTTATCGATCCGCCCAATTCGAGAAAGGAAACGGCCATTGTTTGCTTAATGTCGTAATGTTCGAGCGTCATGTTTCCCACCGAAAACTTCATTTTTCAGTGATTGCTCGAGCACGCGAAGGGCGGCTCGACCCTTCCCGTCATGGACTACATCTCAAGTTTCGACATTCGCTTAGCCAAAGAGATTTACTATGCCGGCGAGAAGATCAGCGGCAGCGTTTTGCTTGAGAACATCGAGAACATCAAGATAAAAGGTTTGTGCTCGGCTTTCGGCCTCTTTGCTCTCGGCCGATGCACCAATAATGCGCCAGAGAGCCCACATTCGGTTCGGTTCGTGTTTGCAAGGCATCACGTGCAGCCGACATCAGTCGACGATTCCTAGCTAAGTGATGGAGTTGTAGGAATCCGAGTGCTGCTTCGTGGAAAGGTGCACGCCACGCTGAAGGTGGTGAAGTCGGGTGAGAGACGGACCATCAAAGATGACCAATACGTGCTTGACGAAAAAATGCTCATTTGGGGCAAGGGTAAGCTTGTTTGAGTACCTGTAACCCACTTGATGATAAAGCACCGTAAATGGCCACTTCGCTCAAAGCCTCCACAAAAGTTGATGCGCATCAATCATGGCTGAAGATCAAACTCTTACGGTTTCATTTGAACCACGAGTCTTTATGCTAAGTTTTGAAGCGGGCATCTAAATGCTAGACGCATTATATTCTCCCAATCTCAAATCCACTCATTGGCTCTTTTTCACCTGTATGTACTACAGTCATTGCATGAATAAAAGGGAGCTTACATTTTCATTTCGCATGACTAAAAGTGCTTATGAGGAATTGGTCAGAACTCAACCCAGTCATACCAAACAAGCTATATATCATCGGACTCGCCTTGAAACCCTGATTCCAAATATATGCTTATTATCCACTGAACGAAGGAAGGAGTTCTGGAAGGAGTTTTGGTTTAAATATGTGAAATCATTTAAGTCTCAACGGATTAATTCGTTGCAAATCAGCCGCGCTTAATTACAGTGATTATGAGTATTCTCAATACAATAAAGAAGGACATTTATCAAAAACCTAAATAAATGTTTAAGTTTTTGTGAAGTGTGCGCTACAGAATACTTGACAAATCGCACACATTTAAACGCTTGTCACTCCTTCCTCCTTCCAGATAGTTGTTCGGCAGATACTAAACACATGTTCAAGATCAGTGTTTTAAGACGAATCTGAGGATATATAGCTTGTTTAGAATGGTTCGGTTAATTCTGATTATCTCCTGCTTAGCTACACCTACTCAGTTGTGATCTCATGGATGTCCTAAACACTTAAAGTATGAGAGATATTGTTGCTCATTGCGCTTTCTTCCATGGCTTATCGTAGAAACCCGTAAAAATAGTGCTGTCGTTAAGTGCATCCGTAATGGTTTGGGGTTACCAGGGAGATATCCATGGACTTTTGCTTAATTCTCACAAAAAATAATGACAATCGAGATGAAAGAGTACATTGTGAGAAGGTTATCGTACGTACACAAAGACCGCGCGGGAACGATCGAGCGATCACTTGAGGGGGGGGGGGGGAGGAGGGGATAAAATTCTAGTGAACTAGTTGAAGGTTGCAGTATGACATCATGCACTCCAGACTTCGAATTGAAGTCGCTCACAAAAAGACACTTCTGCTTGCAAGACCTGCACACAGCTAGCTGTCACAACTGAACAAGAACAAGACGAGCTTTTTGAGGGTTCATTCACGCAGAACATAATGATCTTGCTGTGTCACCGCTCTTGCGATGATGTAGGCGGTATAACAAGCTTTCTTAAAGGTAACACACTTTCATCCATAAGCATGTTTGAATAGCCAAAACACAGGGGCTAGTTTTACTATCATGTTGAAACTACCATTTTTTTCAACTTGCACCGACTTGACTAACAAGGGAAGGTTACTTACCTAGATGCGTCTTTTAAGATGGGACACATATACTATACATATATAGAATTAGCTGAGCGCTAATCAAATATGTTATTACTAACTGCAAGCATCTATGGAGCGAGTTATGGACACTTTTCTGGGCAAAATTTGCGTTCATAGATATACTGATGCTAAGGTATCGACGTCTATGGTTTTCCTATCGTATAATGCTCCCTTTGAGGATCAAAAGACTCAATCTGATGATAGTCATTATCCTAGCACTTTTTGAGCAGAATCCTTTCTACAGGCCGTCTTACCATACTCAAAACTAAGTCAATTACTAAAAGTAGCAATTACTAAAAGTAGCAAGCTCATAACTCGCTTCAGAATGACACTCCAGCTGAGAACTGCATACTTGGAATGAGCGTTGAAAGCTAATTCCGAATACACATATGTGTCTCATTTCAAAAACCGAATCTAAGTTAGTATCCTTTCTGTATAAGTGGAAATTTGTGACCTTGTTTTTTGAAGGAATACCTAGGTCTTTCGTTTGCTGCCGGAGTGTGCATAACACATTTCGGAAACAAGTTTTCATATGAGTTTTGGACATTAAATACCAACTTGTGACATGTACGATGTGATATGAGTTGAAAGAGAATGGAGAACAGCTTGAATTGAAGCTTATTATATTTTTCACATATTTGAAATATACTCATGCAAATTGTAAGGTCTTACTTGAACTGCATTTGGAGAGAGGAAAGTTTCCGAACATTGACTTTTGACGGAGTTTTTGCCTTAGTGAGAAGACCAACCGTAGTCTAGATATAGGAAAACAAGTGCTAAAAGGCTGTACCAAAAATGAGGATGATCATTAATGATATTGTTTCAAAGTTGAAGCCCAGATTTCGAAACTGTATCAGACTGAACCGGGTATTTTACGCCACTATTTTTAAAAAACCTATGCTTCTGTCTCGATGTTTTTGCTTGTGATCAATTTTATTATGAGAAACAATCATGTAAGTTCTAACGCTTTTTTGTGGCTCTATATAGTTCTCATCGCAAAGACAAAAATGTCAAAAAAAGACAAAAACAAACAAACAAAAGACAGAATCCGTTTTTAGCAGCCAAAATTCAAAAACTATGCACTGATGTCCAGAACAACTAGTTAGCACTATAAGTTTTTGCACCTTCGCTCTGGGTGAGCAGACCGTGTGCTGATTGAGAGGGTGCGTAAAAGTTATGACTTTTGAAGAAAATGCTAACAAATCAAATCTGCCGGTTCTATACAGTTCTCGAAACCCATAACTTTGAGCAGAGCAGTCGGTCAGCACAAATTTTGCTTAATCAAAAAGCTAGGCCACAAACATGTTACCAAATGTTCTGAAGTTTATTGCATAGTTAGATAAAAGACAGGCTCAGAACCAAAGAAATTGAGTGGATCCTTCTTTTAATTTTATCTATGCATTCGAGGTTTTGCAGAGAACCGCCAAGGTGCTAACAAAAGTAAATGATCCACATTTCTAATGTATTCAATGACTGGTGAAACCATTTTCGTAGGAAGAGGTTGCGATTTTTTTAAAATTGGCGCGACAGAGCTTTCGGTTCCAATAGATTTCTAGCTGAACTGAAAGCTATGATTTCTAACAGACGCAATTTCCCCTCCCCCATACTTCAATGCATAGGAAACATTCACATAGACCATACATGCACAAACCTAGTAAAATGCATAAGATACAAGAAAAATCATAAATGGAAAGTGAAAGGCCCTCAGTCTCTCAATCTAGCTTAGACTTTTCCATCTTGTACATGCACTGGATCCGGAAATAACAAACAAGTTCGAAAATCTCGAGAACTTGCTCACAAACCTAATATAAGTTGCAGCTATAATGATATCAAGCTTCGATGAAAATTCATCGGTAAGGAATAGCTTCCACATCCAAATATTGCATTACTCCAATGTATACTCCCTAAGTGCAGCTGCAGATAACTCTAATCACAGCTGCTTTGCAAATTGTGCGTTATTTGCAGAATAAGCTATCCATTGCAATCAAATGACTACATTTAGCGTTCCAATACTTATTTCGGCGTCATTGTATATTTATTTATGGTTTTATCTCATTTCCTTTCAGTCAATTTAAACTGACGTTTGAGATTTCAGACAAGAACGACGAGTCCGAAGCTATCCCCATCCTAGCCAGAGGACTACACCAATTCCCTTTTTCTTTCGACCTGCCACAAAGTACATTGCCTTGTTCATTAGAAAGTAGGCATGGGACGATTCGCTACTACATCAAGGTGAGAAAGTGTATGCCTTTCTTCTTTTCTGCTGGACACCTCGCATAGCAAGGAATCCTTGCATTTGGATAAACAAGACTCTTGATTGGGCAAGGAAGCCGTTGGTTTACATTGAAGAAGTTGATTCATGTTGACGACGTTCATAATTGTGTACTAAAATCCAAACACACGTAGGGGAGAGTTGATGTGTGTATAAAAGCTCATTTCTACAATTGAAAACATTCAGTAAATTGTAACAGTTCAGAAATATTCTCGTACTATTGGCCTGTTTCTTGAAGACCTTTTTTTTTTGAAGTTTTGCCATGGGCTTTCAGAGATGCTACGAGGTTGACCTCATTTAGGAGGTTACTCTCATGAGAAATTAGGAAAATAACGGAAAATTTGGGTGCCTTGATTTGTTGCTGGCATTTAACGTAGCCTGAAAAACAACGATTATGCTGATTAAGCAGTAGATCAACAAGCAACTCTTAGAGACTTGCAATATTCCGGATTGAGAAAACTTCATCATGTTTCGGCCAGTAAGATTGTAACTGAAACACACTGCTTTGAGATATTCAATTGTGTTTATCTTCTTTATACTCCTTATCTCTATTTTCGCCAGTATATATCGTGCATATTCATTTCTACATACATTGAAGGTGTATAAGCAAGTAGGAATACATAAAAACAATGCCTTTGTGATGATCTACAAAAGCAGCGAAATGTTAAAGCTGGAGAAAATTGCGGTACTTTCCCGTTATCTGGACCCACTTCTCACTGAAGGACATTGCCTCTTTCCTTGTACCAATTTTGGTCTTAACTTCAGAGCACACCTTTGATAGTCCAGAGATAGGGCCTCAAAAGTGACGGTTGTTTGATATCTGTCCCTCATAAAAAGTGAAGGTTATTCACATAAAATCAGAGAAGAACAAAAGATGCAAAACATTCAATAAAAGCAAAAGAATTTCTTGAAAATCGGCTAGAAACGCCGCAATAAGTTTGAAATCTTTCATTTGGCGGCATTGCAGTTTTCGCTCCAGGACCAATCCACAACCGGTTGAAAACGAGGAAAAGCTAGTTTTTTCTTTGTGTTTATTCTAAAACGCCATGTTTCAGAAGTAACGATTATCGAGAGAAGATAAACAAGAAAATAATTAGTTTTGAAGACACGGAGTTTTGCTTTTACCAAATCGAAATGCGCGTCAAAGCCAACCTAGTTTTTGATGCGTCCTTTGAATTTTTACCCCGCATCGTGGTTCCCGTTTTCTGGGACGTTGTCTAAATTGTAGCGCTCACTATCGTAAGCAATAATCGTCCAAGCTGGAAGAAAATCTTTGCGAAAACACTGGAACAGAAAGTTATAGAAAAACGCAATTTTTACGATTTTTCACAAAAAAAATTCGCCTTAATCGAAGCGATAGGCACTGGGTCGTTGTCTGTATTATGAACAAAGCAAAACATATAGAATGCGCGAAAAAAACCCGTGGGAAGAGTTAAACTAGGGGGAAAAACAAGGGATTCTCGAACAAGGTTTTTGCCGGATTTCTCGTTCAAATCAAAGTATATGGTTTTGGGACGTTGTCAGCGTGAAAGTAGAGATCAAGACCTATAATTTGATCTATAGCTTGCTAAAATTGAGTTCGAAACAACGAAGAAAAGTGAACCAGAGCTAATTGTCCCGCGCCCCGCTTTGGGGTAGCGAGGTAGCGCGCTGCGCGCGGAGACAGGCCAGAGCCAACGGAGCATTTGGTCTGGTCGTAGGTGTCCGTGAACTCTCAACGAATCCCTATAACATTATATATCCTTCTGATCGTCATGACACGACGAGGAGTACTAATAACGTCCCAAGTGTTGAAAATCACTCATTGACGAGAAAGACCAGCATTTTCGTGCACGAGTCTCTGCGCAAGATTTGAGCGCAGTTTCGCGTTTTTGTTCATCTCCAACAGCTTCCCTAAACTTCTGAAACTCAATTTTGGTCAAATAAGAGGTTAAGTGAGATATGTTGTCCTGAATTCGGGAGAGGCGTTCCAGAAACCTTATTTTTAGCGTAGAACAGGCTATAAAAACGCAAATTCTCGGTTTCGCTTTTGAAGGTTGTGTCCTATCATGGCGCTCAAAGTGAAGGTTACCAGAGTATATGGCTTTATGTATCGAGGGTATGCTTCAGAGAAAGAAGTGCCAACCTCCTGCCACGTGTCAAAAAAATTAACATGTCATCTACACATGGACAGGTTTTCCAAGAATCTGTTTAGCCTACCTACCAATATAACTTCAAATTTTGATCAATGACGACCCTATTTTTATTCAAGGTTCCAAAAATGAGCAGAGAATAACATATTTTGTTCAATGAACACATCAGATTCGCCCAAAACAGAAGACTGGGCTATCATATCATTTGAGCGACGAAACACGCAGCACCTAGGTACTTAAAGCCAACATACTTTCTTAGCATGCGCATAACGGAAATCATTTCAAAGATACTATGGAGTAATTGCTGAAAGGGACAAAAATGTTTCAATAAACATGTCAGAATGAGAGTAAACTTATCAATTTTCATCCTGACATGTGGCAGGGCGGTAGTCATGGCCCAGCACAGATGGTATGGGCTCAGACTGCACTTGTTTTTGAAGTTAGAAGCAACGGGGATATCGTTTTTACCTAGAAGTCCTCAGCGGAGCACCGAAAAGAAAGAGATGAACATGTTGGGATTTACGCGTTGAACGTGTTCTTCTGCTAGCGCGCGAATTTCAAAAGCGGGATGACACAAATGGCTTGTTTACAATGCACAAACAATCGCATGACACCAAATTTGGGACATGCGTATACGATATTACTCCAAACTACATTATGTAAAAGATTTCAAAACTTATGTGTCCTAATACCCGTTTCCGAATTTGTTGGTTTCTAAACCAAAATACCAAGCATAAATATCGGCGAGTTCACATAAGTTTTGAACCTTTTGAATTTGGACGATTAGAACGCTCAGAAATCTTTCATGTAGCGAAGAGAGCGAATCAAACCATTGCCTCTCCTCTTTTTAAGAGCCAAAAATAGTGTAAACCTACGCACTGACAGATATAGCTCCACTCCCATGCGGTGTCCTTTGAACTATGCGGCGAAATACGCATCATCAGATTGTTGAGGCGCAGCTTCGGTTGGTCTAAAAGGTTTTCAACATTCTGAGCACTGAAACGATATTATATTCAATGACAAAGCCTTTGATCAACTCAGAATTTTTTCTTGCTTTTTTGTTATACTAGGTACCTCAAAAGGCGCTTTCATCGCTTTTTCTTGTTATGTTGATTGAATAAGGGTTTTCCTACGACTTTTATGTCGAAAGGGACTTCGTAAATTATCGCGAAGTCATGGGGGACTTCGTTTCCAGAAATGCTCCAAACAACGCGTGACGGGCCCTGGAGACAGTCATTACAGGATCTACGAAGAAAATTTGTAGGCTAAAGCAAGTATTTTATGAGACCGTTAAAAAATAGGTCCGACAAAAAGTACCAAAATCACACAGTTCAAGTTTGTCAAGAAATATGAACTGTGTGAGTGTTTTTCACTGAGAACAAGCCTGGTAGCAATGATTTATGCAACACTGAATCTCCTCTTTTTGAATAACATTTGAAAAAATTTTTTACTGTCATGACATTATTATTATTCATTACTATTTGCACTATCATTTTTTACTATCAAAATTTTTTACTATCATGATGTTGATAATACGAAACATCTGCTCAGGTCATCATCGATGTTCCGTATGCGTCTTCTCCTCAAGGCATCAAATACTTCACTATCATAGGCCCTCACATCGATTGCATGGAGGAAAAATACCTGGTTGGTTCCCTTCTTGGGCCACTGATCCTCTTATTTCATCAATAGGTCTTCGAGAAAGCACCTACCGCCACCCTTCAGCAAACAGTTGAGGTTTGTTGATTTGGCTTTTTCAGAGCTCACTATCGGGACAAGATCGTAAGACAACCTGCTGTTGGTGTTGTCGACGAGGGGCTCTGGCTCTACGGGTGGTTTTGGATCGCACCGCTTATGTATGCGGGGAGAACGTCCGAATAAGGGCTCAGGTAAGTCAGACAGTTCTCTCCGTTTTCTCACCATGGTTCTCTTCCAAATTCTAAATGACTTGATCTTACAGTCAGCGACGGCATAATCTGAGGGCTTTTGCTTTCTCATGAGAGGCGCTTTCGGCTGGGAACATATCCCACGCAATTTCATTCGCAAAGCGATTTGGCAATACTCCAATTGGTCCAAACTCATCGTAAGGGGTTTCTGAATGTACGGCAGATAGGGCATTTTATCAACCTAATACTGCCCTACTCAGACGTATATGATTGATTCTAATATGTCGGTACTCCATTTGGGAAAAAAAACATAAACGTCCAAAATTCCTTCCGCTCCTCATTTTTTTATTCGAAGGTTTGAGAAATGCCTTAACGAGCATTACATAAGGAAAACGAAAAAAATTGTTTTCGCGAAATGGCTAAAATGTTGAACAATTTCTTTATGTTCTTTATGCCAGCATTCAATCTCGAAGATATTTACAAGTTTTTTTTAAAACGGTCAATACTCAGCGCTGGTGAATTTTCTCAAATCAGTATAAGTCGTTCGATTACTCGTAAAATCAATAAGTGCCCTAATGCGGAGAAAATTGAGCGCAATCAGCAATGCTCTCTAGTAGCGCAGATGACAAAAAATTTTGACCATTTTTCGCCTGCATAGATTGGAATCTGAGTGTGCTGGACTTGAGAAGTACCGAATTCAATTCACAGGTGGAGAATCGACAATCGACACCTCAAGCGATCCTGATGAGGCTAATCCAGCACGTGGAATTCTTCATCGACAAAGGTGTACTTGGCGAAAGCAAGTCTGTCACTTGTCTGGTTTTCGAGCACAAGTATGTGAGCAGTATCTTGATGTAGCGTTCGGAGTTTCTGTTTTCTTGTAGATCACCTACAATCCCACCGAATTCACAAGGAAAGTACGACTCCACCTTGGAGCAGCCTATACGCCTGCCCGTAGTTCCTCCTACGTTGATTGGAGTTTGTCGTCTTGTACAGATCTACTACATCCTTCAGGTAATTATTCATATAGTATTCATTCCTAAAGACAGATTCTCAACGTTCAGGTTTGTCTCGTTGATGAAAAAAACAACGAGTGTCTTCATCTTGAGTTTCCCATAACAGTTGCAACCGTGCCATATCGAATACCAAACGCACCTCAGCCGCCCATTGACTACGGTATGTACACGCAATCTCGCATACCAGAATTTAATGCTCACCTCACTAATTACCGTAATTCAGACTTTTGTGCCAACCATGTAGAAGGCGGGAAATACGTTTCTCCAGAGTTTAGGCTGGGGCAAGTGTATGATGGAGAGATCAACGAAGAAGGCCGTGAAGAAGAGGTTCGTGAATTTGCTTCTAAACATTGAATGTTCACAGTCGCTGACTACTGCGGTTATGGCAGCAGCTGTCTTTCACTGATTTTATTTACAACTTTCACTGTCGAAAAACGGCTAAGAGCTGATTTTGACTACCAATCCTTTCCAACCTAAAGGTTTTGCATAATTGGATTGCAGAAATCACTTAAAGTTTTGCATAAGACGTACTCGTACTGTAAGCTATTCCAAGCTGCTTCGTTTTTGCATAGTTTTGTGCATGGGAAGTGCTTTTTGGTAAATATACGGCATTAAAAATAACTGGGCCATCTAAGGTTTGCTGATTTTGAACAGGCCCGCCAAAAATATAAAGACTTTGCAACGAAATCTGAAAAACAAATGACGTAAATTGTCAAATTTCTTTCTCCTAATAGGCAACGTTTTGCTGATTAAGCTCTTCTCCGAAAAGATTGTTTTTAAGAAAACAGAAAATTGACTTCTGGCTTTTTCGACATTCAAGCTCTTCTTAGAAAGGCTCCACCAGCACACATTTTGTTCACAAGGAAATGGTCAGAAGTCGAAGTGGCCAATCTAAGCAAGCTGCCAACCATTCGATGCAGCATTCAAAGCTGATTCAGATCTGTATTCCATATCTGCTTAGCGCTTTGTGGCCGAAGTTATGAGCAGTTTTATTGTAAAAAAAAATCGTACAGGAAAATTGCGAAATTGAGCACATTATTGTACTTTCGGCTCACCCTTGGGCTTTATGAATATAAAGTAACTTAGCTGCATGTTCTGGCTCAGCCTTAATCCGAATATGGCTCTATGCTGCCAAATTTGCACTTTGCATGCATGATTTCTTAGCAAAATAGCGGCATTTAACGGCTCATAACTTTGCCCGCATAGGCGCTGAGCAGATATGGAATACAGATTCGAAGTTAGCGTTTTATGTTGCATCTGATGGTATGCAACTTGTTTGAATTGGCCACTTCGATTTCTGACCATTCCCTTGTCAGTTAGAGAGAGCAGGCCACAAAACTCGTGACACTAATTCTTTTTTGAATTTTATTGCACAGTATTTAGATTACTAACGGGTCTGCTCAAAAACACAAAAACTCAAACACAAAAAAATTTTTTCATTTTATCTCTGCATCTCTGCAAAAAGAGCTTACAAAAATATAGATTTGCTCTCTAATAGTGCCCATGAATAAGATTATTGTGGCAGAAAGGATTTACGGGTTTTTGAAAATAGTGAGACAGAGCTTTCGGTTTCATCTTATATATAAAGCTGAACGTCTATTTGTATGTCTGTCTGTCTGTATGTCGAATAGAAAATTTCATTTCTGAACCGATTCGGACCAAACTTTGCACACATACACTTCGGGGTCGGATGGTGTCATAGGCTACTTTTCGTCATCGATCAATATCGACTTTATTGATTTTTCAAAAAGTACGAGCTATGGGGCTGGGAGTTGGCACAGGGGGGTAAGTGAGCATGCTGATTACGAATATATTATTAACAGGTCCGGGCGGAGCCGGGTTTGCCAGCTAGTAATATAGTAAATAGGTGTGCCCATCTCATGAATCAAACGTTAATCGAATATCCACTGTTCAAATGTTGTCTGGCCATCAAGTCCTTTACTACATTCTGTAAATAAAGTTATTGATTAGTTTGTCCGCACTTTCTCGCACAAACGATCGAAACATTGCGGAGTTTCCCTCAAAGCTATGCCTAATCAATGATGTACAAATAATTGAAGCGTTAACATATACTTACTCTTTTGAGCGCTTGTAAATGTTTGGGATTCTGATGATCAGGGCAATGTGATTTGCTTTTTGTCGTAATGCAGTACGCAGTTTTGAATCTATCAATCCATTTGGACGTTAAGCGATGAAGTTGGTATCCTACATATCTACAACTTTCTCTATACGTTATTCGTCTACTAGCTGGGCTACAGGCTCTGATACGTTTTCGAACGATAATTACTCTTGTGAGCAGCACATACTCTCCAGCACCAAATCCTAGTCCGTAGCTCCAAGTTTGCAAAAAAAATTGATAAAATCAAGTTATGGATATTTTTACAAACGGTTACTACAGTGCTGGACAAAATTACAGGTCCACTCTAAAAAATGCCATAACTCACTCTGTTGTCAATAAAATGCTCCAGAATTCGGTACAGCCGTGTGTTCACCAGCCTACTATCAGTCAACAAAATGGGTCTTGCTTTCATTTGGTTATTCAAGAAATAAAACAAACATTTTGAAAAAAGTAGGCTTGAAGCCTGGTCAAAATTATAGGTCCAGCTGACGTTTTAATTATTGAAGCACTTCTTAGCTTACGAATGTTTCTAGGTAGGTACACATCCAAAAGCGTTAAACAGCTGCTTTAGTCAAGGTGTGCCATACCTTCAAAAGAACCGATTATTTGCTTTTTTGTGCCTTGAAAGTGCTTTCACATGTATTTCGTTCGAGGAATCTGATTTGAGTAGGAAACTCTGCAGCTTCTATGCAGGATTGGAAGCGACGGGGTTTTATCTATCTTCCGGATGTTTTGACGCTAGCATTGAGGAAAAAATCCGACTTTTTGCTGCTGAATTAAATCAGACATCGACTTAATCGGGAGCACAAGCCTCAGTTTCTGCCCTAAAACCCTTAATACAAGATATTGAAGAAGCATTCTATACCAAGACTAAAACTGTTCGCCATACTCGCAAATGTTCACAAAGCTGCCTTGCTTCTTTTTCGAAAACATGAGTTGCGCAACCTAATAATGGTGTTACTCACTTCCAAAATAGCTTGCCATGTGCTACTTCATTTAGATTTTTGAAGGTAATTCAATTACTAGATAGTGGTACAGCTTGTACTGTATGCTAGCACATGATTCTCCTGAAAATTTTGGTCGGAGCCACAATTAGCTTTGGTGCTTGTCGTAATCATCTGCAAGGTGATTTCAGTAATGATACTTGAATGCTAGGATCACTAGAAAGTTGTAACCATGGAATACGGACTTCTTTTCGTAGAAACAATGCTTTACTTTATTTAATGCTCCTGTGGACATTGTAAAAAAAAGTTTGAAAGCAGAAATTTGAGCTCAGCATTGCAGTATTACCAACGTCGGATTTGCTTCAACAACAAAAAGTCGGATTTTTTCCTCGATTCTCACGTCAAAAAGCATCCAGAAGGTGGATGAAACCCCGTCGCCTCCGATCTAACTCAGAAACTGCAAAATTTCTTAGCCAACACAGGTTTCTGGAACGAAATACATGTGAAAGCATTTTCAAGGCAAAAAAGCAGATAATCAGTTCTTTTTGCACAGTTTGACTAAAGCACCTGTTCAACACTTTTGAATGTGTACCTATTCAAAAAAAATTGGAAGCTAGGAAGTGCTTCAATCAGTAAAAACTCCAGGTGGATCTATAATTTTGACCAACCTTCAAACCTTTTTTTTTCAAAATTTTTGATTTTTTCTTGAATAACCATACGAAAACGAGACCCGCTTTGACGACTGATAGTAAGCTGGTAAGCACACGGCTGTACCAAATTGTGGAACATTTTATTGACAACAAAGTGAGTTATGGTATTTTTTAGAGTGGACTTGTAATTTTGTCCAGCACTGTACGATCTTAGCAGCATTGCGCTTACCCCCTGTGCCAACTTTCAGCCCTAATCAAAGTTTGTGGAAAAACAATAAAATTCATAAAGATTAATATCATAAGTGCGAGTGTATGTGTGCAAAGTTTGGTGGGGACTGGTTAGAAATGGAATCTATTCCCCGAATACGTGCAGACACACACATAGATACACATGCAAACAGATCAGTATTATTCATAAGACTATCCAGATAGGAAGCAGTGGAGACAAAATTTTGCGTTCTTATAATATTGGTTAATGGAAGGGGGGGGGGGGGGAGATGAACAGGAGGAATGTTAGCCATTAGCCAGCCAGTGAAGGGATAATTTACTTTCAAAACATCTTATTTTTGTTGTACCATGCTTTGCTTTTGCACTTGAGCGGTTAACTTCGAGGTTTCCAATAGCAAGGGAGTGATACTTGATGACCATGACCATTTGTTTGAGATGTACAATCTTTGTAACAGAGACAGGCCCTAGTGCAATCACTCAACTACGCACGGGTTCTTCAGTATGGTGAGACATGTGACTACTGCGCACAACAGCGCCGTCCTAGTTTTAGTCACTCTTCTTCTCTTCTTACTTCTCACTGCTTGTCCTGCTTATTGACTAACACTTCCTAAAAACTCAAGAACAAAAATATCTTTGCGCGGAAGAACGAAACTATGGAGATTTGTGCGACGAAATATAGACAGGCGAACAAGCCAGTTTATATGCTTAGATGGAAAAAATTTAGAAGTGAACCAAAAACGAAAAAAATGACGCATGCATGGAAGGCGATGTTGTGCGCAGCATGATCCCACTATACTGCAACAACTGTAGTGTTTCTGCGAAAGTGTGTGGTTGCACTAGCGAAGCACTAGCATCATGGAACGCTCAGTTATGCCCCAAAAACAGCAACTAAACGTTACGCTAAAGCCAGATACCATTGTCTTACCATTGTCAAATACGTCCAACTTCGTTCACTTGGTTTATTTTACTGACCTCGGACAGGGCTAGAATCTCGCGGAAAAAATACCTGATTTCTGTGTCGTTCCTCAATTTCATGCATAGATTTGGTAACAACATTTCCAAGCGTATATTGTTCTATACATCACTTTACAAAAGACTATGTCATGTTTCTTCTCCTTGTTAGTGCGATAAGTTGCATCACAGATTTATCATTGCATTTTAAAACCACACATTGCCCCTTCTTGTGGAATTTTTTAGTTTCTTAGCTTTTCAAGTTCGCTTAGCTGCCTTGCGACTTTTCAAGTTGACTTATTCTTATATTTTGAATAATCTATACATGTGGTCCAATATCTTTTGAAATTGTTGAATTACAGGTCGTCCTCTATCGTCCTGTCTATGCAAAACTGGCAGATAGACGTGTCGCATCACCACCAACAACGAAAGAGT